GCATAGACATTGTCATATTTATCATAAGAAGATATTGAATATTCGTTATATCATATACTGTTTAACTACCAGCCGGAGCAATCGAAAGATTGATCACAATAGGGGACGGATGTTGACTATTAGTCTATCTAAAAAGAGAAAAATAATCTTGTGAAAGTAACTTCAAAGATATTAATCCAATGATGCATGCGATGTGTGAAAGTGGAAAAAAACTCTAATGAAAAAAGAAATATATATATATATATATATAAATGGTTGGTGAACGGAAATCAAGGAAAAAGGAACAGACTCTAGACATAAATTAAGATTTCGCATTAATACTTATTAAGGTTGAATTGCTTCTCGTGGGTGTTTTTTTTTTCCTTTGCATTTTTCAAAAATTTTTCTAGTAGTTAATTTCTAAAACAATAAGCATGACAAAGAACACTTGAAAAATAAAATAGATCATAAATAGTAATTTTAATAATTGAAATTTTAAATATAATGATATTTCATAGACAAATAAAACAAAAGAAAAGAAATGATGATGAAAAATTATAATAAAATAATACTCAATTTTTTTTTCTCAAGATATCATCAGAGTCTACTCGGTAGTACAATAATATTTTGCTTAATTGTCATTCAAATTATTAAGAGTCATCTTTGTAAAGATTTATTTATTGATATAAAATTAGGCAATTACTTTTTCTATTTTAAAATTAATCATGTTTTTTTTTTTTTTTTCGTCATTTGTATTGACATCATCAATTCTTAATGTTTGCTATTATCATATTGAAAATCTATCTCTTATAGGTCATTAGTAATATTAGAATAGATTTTTAAACGAAAAGAAAAATATCATTTACCTTTTTATTTTTATTTTCTATAACTTATTGAATTTCTTTTCATAGATAGATGAATATTTCAATGTAAATTATTAATAAATATGTCTATGTCTGATGCTGTTCTATCTCTACTATAAATCAGTTATAGTAAAATTAGTCAATATAAGCATAATTTAATCAATAGTAAATTTGTACTCTTCAAAGGAAATTGTGATAAAACAAGTAGATCAACATTGTTTTTTATGAAAGATAAATAATGTTGTCAATAGTCTCGTACGAAAAGTAAATCATAAGTACTCCAAATCTTTAAAAGCATCTATAAAATTCAAATAATAATGAAAAATACTCAAGAATAATAATAGAAATATACTAAGATTCTTCAATTAAAGAATGATAACACATTTAATAAATATGAATAATTAAGTACTGTAAAAATTTATGAATATGTTATGATTAAAAACAAGAATAGAGAAATAAACTAAAGAAAAAAACTACTTGTTTATGCTTGTCTGAAAGAAAGACGGGAAGCATAGTTGATTATAAAAATGATAATACAAAATTTACATTAACGATTTCATTAATTCATCATGTTATTACATATTTTCAACAACATGACATATAAACTTAACTGAATAATAATTAGTCTAAAAATATTTATAACTATCATATGTAAAAAAAAAAAAACAGAAAAAGACTCAATAAAATGTTGTTTTTACAAAAGAAAAAAACTTACCTGTGATATTCATCTCTTTATTTAAATTTTCTATTTTGTAAAATCATTATGTGAAAATTCATTATTATTTTTTTTATTTGATTTAAAGAATATATAGTTAAATTTATCATTTGTATTTTATATTTTTGACTTTCTATTAATAAATAGAAGAGAATGTCATGTAAATCAAAACTTATTTAGTTAAGAGCAAATGCTTATAATCATCAGTATGTATATGTGCATGTCTATATGTATATGAAGGGGGGTGAATATTTGTATACTACTCAAGTTTGCTGGTAAATAATGATGATTGAAAAAAATGAGAAAATCTATACTAAAAAGAAAGAATGATGTATCAACAGCGATTGACGTCAGACAACGTCTACATTCATTCTGTTATCTAAAGCATTGCTACACTCGACTATCTCTCTTTTCCCACATCGTTTCTTTTATTTCCTGTTTGTTTAAACAATGCTCCGAAAAAAAAGCAACATTGTCGGTGATCAAGTCTATTCTTTATTATTATGCATTATCACGCTAGCATAGTCTAAGGAATAAGACAATGTGATATAGTTTTCCGAGAATGTACTAAATAACGAAAAACAAAAAACAACATACTATTATATTACTATGAAAAAAAAAAAAGTACACTTATAAATATATATCAATAATAACATATATTGTGCTTGTCGTGTTGCTAATAACAAAAAAAAAGTTGCAAACACGACATCAATATATCTGCTTATATGATTATGTCGAATCATTAGACACGTATATCTATCCTATATTTAATTGTATGAAACGTGACTTTATTCAGATATTTATATACATATATCTAGTATGGTTCTTATAACAAAGATCGCACTTATCTTTTCAAGAAAATTGTATCAGCTTATAAAGAAATAAAAAAAATTTAAATAAAATTTTGATATTTCAATGCAAAAAAAAATATGATCAAAAGATTTTATATAATTTATTTATTTTTATATAATTTATCTAATAATTAAGCATATTTTAAATAGATGCATGTTAATTTTTGAATGAAATTATTCATTATAAAAATAATTTATTTTTGTTATCTATTATTACACATGACTATCTCTCTTTGATCATATAGAAAACATTTTTATCTCATAGTCTCCAATAAAAAAATCTATTTTTATCGAAATTTTGTATTAGATATTTTTTTTTAGGTCCTACAATACTCATCATTGACGTGACTTCTTGATAAAAGAATCACAAAGATACTATTAAAAGAAAGAAATTCTTTAAAAAAAAAAACTTATCTCGAATATTTTTTTTCTATTAATCATTGACAATGAAATATATTGCGTGCATGATTTTATAAATAAAAACTCGAATATGATATAAATAAATAAAAATGTACCTTCTATGTTCTACATTTTTTTTTTTTCTTCAATGGATTATGTCAATTATGCATGTATTTGTCTAATTGATGTTAACCTGTTACGATTGTTTATATTTTACGGATCAAAGAATTAATAAAAATGAGATGAGAATATATTTTTCTTTTTAACAATTTATGAATTTTTTTTATACTCATATTTTTGATGCAGTTTGAAAAAAAAAAGCTTGTTGACCTATTTCATAATAATTATTCCATAAAAAAAAATCATCATTTAAATAATTGTCTATAAGTGATAGTATATTTCAAATTATTATTACAAAATACTATTCAATAGAATTAATATATACTGCAAAAAAAAAGAAAATCAAGAAACATATTGAAATTGACTTTACCAGTTGTTTCATATTATTTGAAATGATTTTTAATAGTCTTTATTATGAATATATTCTTTGCTTATCATTATACTACCAGCTGATGGTAAAAATAATAAAAGACTATCGATTATAAGACTATTTGTTGCATTCATTATATATCATTTGACGAAAATCTCATAGAGACAAATAATAGTATCATTACAATGATTCTAACGAAATATAGTTCATAAGAATAATATTAATTGTATAATGTTAGAAAAAAGAAAAGAAAGAATTTTATTTTTTCATAAATAATTAATTAAATATGATATGATTAAGATTTGTCATTCATTCGAGTAGAGAAGACAACTTACTATATAAAAATCTGAACATCTGTATCACTATCATACATAATATTTTCTATATCTTCTCTCAAGTTTGTCTTAAAAAGATGATGATGAATTTTGAATAACATTCATCTATAAAAATGATTGATGATGAATCTCAATCATACTTTGTTCTACGAAGAAATATCTTAGCTATTCATTATTCATCTATGAAAATAAAACATCATATAATGCATTGTCTAAGTGTTCAAATCTCTGCTATGGATGAATTAAAGTCAGACAAGAAGATAATTAAATAAAGTCTCGACGTCTATATAACATTCACAATATCAAATTATTACTTTATGATTGAAAATGCCATCAATTTTTGATAAGGAAATTTTAGATGTGCACTTATAACATGTTGACGATTACAGCAAGCTGTTTTTTTTTGTTTTCAATTTAAAACATTGAGTAGAAGAAAAAAGACTTTTGCCGTGAAGCAATAAGTTGATTGCTACACTACGTACATTCAACTATAATGTTTGAATACAAAAAATTCTACTATTTAAAATTCTCTTTAGTCAAATCAACTGAATTATTATGAAAGTTAATCTAATTCTTATTTTTGTCTATTATAAAGAAAAACATTAACTTTATTCTAATCAATTAAATTTAATTGCAATCTAAAAAAAAAGTCGAACAGAACCTAATGTGTTTCTATTTTTGAATTACTCAATTATTCTTTTTATATGACAGACAATGTTTTAACCGGTCGATTTGATGACATAAAATGTTCAAGTACTTTTAAGGTTTTGTTTTTTTTTCTTTTTTACAAAATCAATTTGTATTTAATTATTTGTTCGTTTTTTGAGCTAATATTATTTATATTACATGAAAAATGATAATCGAGATAAATACATACTCAATATAATAAATTATAGAAAAAAAATAGACAGATTTAATCTCAAAACTTTTTTTGTTTTTTGAATTGAAAGCTTAAATGTAGGACATAAGATAAAGGAATATTGCAATGTATGTTGTTTATGTAATATAACTCTATCTATAAAATATCATAATAAAGTGTTGAATCTATCGAATTCAAAATAAATAAATTTTATTTTATATAAAACTATTTGAATATTAATATTTTAATGATGTCGTTTATTTTTATTTAATAAATAATTAACTGTTTAATAAAAATAGACAAAGAACAAAAGAATGAATCATTATTCGTATTATTTATTGGATAAAAAAAATTTGAAATGACAAAAAAAAAGAAAATTCTAAGTTAGTAGAATGGCTCGAAATGATCAAGATATTAAAAAAGAAATTCGAAGAATTGAAGGACAACTTCTTGTTGCAAAAGAAATTTGTCGAGAAAATGTATTGTTTAATTTTAGCTTTTCTTTTTTTTTTTTGTGTTAAAATCTATTTAAAATAATTTTTGTATTTATTAATAGTTAAAAGAAATAAATCATTTAAAAAAAGAACAAGAAAATAATTATATTCTTCAAGAAATAAATCGTCTTTTAGCAATTAAAACACTTAATTCAAATGAACATGTTAATCAATTTAATCAATTAGTAAGTTAAAGATAAATTTCATTATCTAATAATATAATTATACTTTAATTTAGCTTTATTTAGTTTATCAACAACAAACAATTACATTAGATAATACAATACAATTAAATGAACAAGAAAAAGATGTATGACTTTTTTTCTTGTAATTACAATTTTAAACAAAAATTCTTTCGCTCAAAACATCATTCTAAAAGTATTCAGTTCTTGATAAAATTTTTTAGTGATCAAATCAGTTTATTAACAAAATTTTAGTATAAAAACCTTTACCTTCTATAGAAGTTTCACTCATAAAATGATCTTATAAATAGAATATTAGCGTTGATAATATACTAATAGTATAATTAGATTCATTAGATATCCTACTCGTTATATATATATGATGGTTCTAATGATTTCAACGAACGATCGAGTAGAAAAATATGAATCGAACGACATGGGAAATGATGATTTGTTTTTTTTTTCATAACAGTATTGAATAAACACAAAAGCAATTTATATTAGAATAATAGGAAAAGGAAGGAGTAAATAAACAAAAACAAATTTTAAAACAATACATGAATTTTTTATACGTATTATCAAACAATCAATGTTTTTTCCTTTCAAGCAGTGTATAACTACTAAAGAATTTTATTTATATATTTCATATAATGAGATTTACACAAGGGAGAAAAAAAACCGAAAATGCTGTACTTCAGCATACTTCCAAATTATGTCATAACTGTGCATCAAATCTATTTAACTATTTCAAGTCTCTTATCAACATGTGTTATGATATATTAGCTGAAGTCCAGCTTACGTAAGTCACCCAAATACTTCATTATACTTCCGAAGTACGAGTACGGTGTGAAGTATTTGGGCTTTATTGTCAGATAGATTTATACAGGCTGAACTCCAGCTAATATACCGTAACATAGGTCGATAGAAGACTTGAAATAGCTAAATAGATCTGATGCACAGTTATGACATAGTCTGAAAGTACGGCATTTTCGCTTGTTCTCCCTTGGATTTACTTTAGATAGATTATTGTTATTCTTGATTGTCATATTTGCACAATAGTGTGAACTACGTCCAATTTATTCTTTATATCATACAACAAACCTTTCAGATTTCTACTGTTTGAACATAGAGATTAATTTTATTTAAAAATTTTGAATTGTTTATTGAATGTATAATCAGTAGGAGCAGTAATAAATTAATATCTAATAAAAATCTAGTTGTAAACAAAATTTTCACTATTTGCAACAGAACATTTCCTAGAGCGACTAGAAATGATACTAAAGCCTTTATTTTTTTTGTTATATATTCTTTCAAAAACTTAAAATTTTGTAATATGTTAGAATGATCAATATACTTCATTACTTGTTGATCTATCATCAAATGTTACTGAACTTGAATGTTTATTTGATTATGCTAAAAATTTATTTACAGAACCAATTACATCTGTCAATATGTTTAATAGTAAGTTATTTTAATGAATAAATATAATAGATAATTTTCTATTTTATAGATACTGTTTCACTTCAAGAAATAGCTGATAATTCTTTAAATGATAATACTAAAACACAAGATTCAATTCAAATTAATGATCTTGAAAAACGTATTGATACGATGCATAAAAGACTTACAAATATTCATCAATCTGATGATTGTTTAATACAATAGAAAATAAAGTGTATTAGATTTTTTGTTTTTTTTTTCAAAAAATTTAAGTTTAAAAAGAAAAAACAATTTAACTAAGTTCAACATGTATATCAGAAAGAATAGTCGACTTAAAGCTCTATGAAAATTCATAAATTCTCATTTACTCAAAAATCATTCAAAATTATGTAAAATCAAACAAATATTATAATATTAGAATTATTATCGCTTGAAAAAGTTCAGATACTTACTGTTATATGAAATCATACGGTTATTCATCGAACTACGAGAAAGATTTCACAGCATTTTTGAGTAACTCTACTCTGAAAGTACTAAATTTTTCAATGTTAAATGAAACTTCCCATCATACACATTATTTTCTCGAATTAGATCTCATATTTAAAAAAAAAAATATTTCTATACCTTTTTTTTGTAAAATTCAAATCATTTTCGTGCTTGAAAGATTAAAATCAATCCCCACGACTACCTTAGTTTTATCACCATTAATCTATATCAAGGAAAAAAATAGCAGTATCTTAAGAAATCTACTTTCCTTTCCGTCCGACTTTCATCTACATCTTGAAATCAATGCAAAGCTGTATGTGAGACAGATGCAGCGGAATAATACATTGCTGTCATTGGTAAAGTGCATCGTTACAATTGCATCTTTGATTATATATATAAATATTTTTAAAATTGAAAAAAGAGAAAAAAAAACCAAACATTTCATCAAACATGATTCATGATTGAATAATATTCATTTAAATAATCAACGACAATACAATTACTTTCATATTTAAGAAATTAAACCAAACAAAAAAAAAAATTTCAACACAATTTATTCTCACACTTATTTATCTTATATAGATAAACAAAAAGAAAAACGAAAGAAGAACAAACAAAAAACCAATCTTATCATGTTAAAATACATATAAATTTTTTTTTTTTTATTCTTTGTTCAAAACAATAAATGGTGATTGACATATATATTTTTTTTTTTTATATAAATATATATATGTCTATTCATTCTCTACATAAGATATAAAGATCTTGAAGCTATACAATTAGATATATCAGACAGATATGTTTATTCTTTTGCTTGTTTTACCAATGAGCACGATGAATCTCAGCAACTCGTCGAAGAAAATCAGAGTGGCTAGCAAATAATGGTATTTCACCACTAAGATCATTCCAAAATGCACTTAACGCATCACTACCACCATTAACATTAATTAATGCAAGATGTTCATTATTACCATCATGGAAATTATATGCTAAAAAGAAAATTTCTTATATATTTGATTGAGTCATTTTAAAAAAAAAATCCATGTTCAATGATTTTAAAAACATTATATATAGAGTAAAATATCATCAACACATATTTCCAATTTGAAACTTGAGATTTTCGATAAATTCGTATTTTTGACGTGAAATATTGCACATATAGAGAATTGAACTAGACTAACTTCCTTAAAACAATTGAGAAATGTTCAATTAAATCTTTTCAAAGATATAGAAGACTTTGTTGAAAATACGATCATTCCGAACACTTAGAACTTCTAAACAATAGACATAGAGTTTTTTTTTTTTATTAGTACACTACATAGAATTTATAGATGAAAAATTTATATGAAATCAGAAAAAGAACAACTAAAGAGATTCGTTTTCAGTTCTTTTCATATAGATTTCATTAATATAATCTAAAATTTTTTATATATGAAAATATTTTTACGTTTGTTATTTTCTCTGTAATTCGATTCAGACATGTCAAACAAAAACAAAAAAAAAAAAGTACATCAATCTCTTACAGAAAGAAACAAACGGTATAAAGTTACTTTCATTTTAATCTTGTCTACGCAATTTTTCGACGAAAAAGAAAATTCAATTTTTGTTTACGAATCAACTGAAATATCTTTCAATTGATTTTCAAAAAAAAAAAAGAAAAAACTTCTAAACTCTTTATAATATTCATACCTGTTGTTTCCATCCAACTATTATCAGTATTTCTATAAGAAAAAAAAATGCAATTAATTCTATTGATTATTTTTTTTTTGTTTTTTTCAATACCTTGGATCATCAACATAACCACAATAAATTCTAATTCCACCATTTTCAAATATATCTTTAATTGTTGCTAATAACTTATGTTTACTACGTTCATCTAAATCTGGAAAATTAAGTGTTTCTTCTTGAAATTCACGTTGTAATGTATCTGTAATTTTTTCTTTTTTATCAACCATTCCACCTGGTATAGCAAGTTCATTTGTATCTTTACGACGTATACCAACAAATTGTAAAATTTGTTTTCTTGTTGATGGATGAATTATTATTTTATCATTTTCATCACGTTTCCATCGTGTTACAATTGGATCAGCAGCATGATTTGGTCCAAAATGACCTAAAAATAATTTAATAAATATTTGCTTTTTTTTTTTTCTGTTATAATTTTATACCAAGATGTCCTCGTCCAGTAATACCCGTTCGTCCACATGGATTTTGTGGTAAACGTCCAATAATTTTATATGTACCATGATAAGATCGTCGATCACATAAACGATCATCTAAATTCCATGGTATTTGTACATTTGGATCTAGTCGTGGATCTCGATCAACATATTCTTTAGTTGATGTACGAATTTTTTCTGATGTAAATTCAATTGGTTGATAATCAAATGATGATGACCATCGTACTTTATCATTTGGTACAATTGGTCTCATTATTAATGGTTGATCTTTAGTACCTGTACGTGTAAATTTTCCATTAATACATTGATTAGGTGATTTTATTGGATCACATCCTTGACCACAATTACGACATTTATGATGTATTGGTATTTGATTTATTTCATAATCATTTATACGTGTACCCAAACGAATACCAAAAAGTGAAAGAAATTGTCCCATATTTACGATAAAAATATATAAATTTTTTTCAATAGAAAATAAATTTTAAAATATTATTATCATCTAAAAAACATAATAAATATATATATATATATAATTATGATAAACATATCAATATCATTCACATCATTTTTCTTAATGAATGTTTATAACCTTGAGGTTTTTTCTTAGTGCTTATTTACGTCATACCTAGTCCCTATTGTCTCTTTTTTGATGACGTCTATACCTACATATCAAAAAATAAACTCTCGTCAATTCTTATTTCAATAATCGATTACTTTCGTCACATCTTATTCATCATTTAAATATCATTTTTTCCCATCTAGTTCTGTGACGTACGTTGCTAAGTAATGAAAGGAAGAAATAGAAATGCAAAAAAAAAAACAACAACAACAACTTTCTAAAAAATGATACCGTCCTGTCATCTATAAAAGAAAAAAATAAAATCATAGGTTTCAAATTTTTTTTCTTTTTATTTTATACATCTTGTGCATGTGTATCACAGAAGAAGAGAAAAAAAAAACGAAAGAAAGCAAAATAATGGTGGACAATCGCATACAAAAAAAGAAAAAAAAAGAGCGAGAGAGATTTGTTTGTAATGCTAAACAGAAAAAAACAAGAAAGAAAGAAATAAAGTACAATTTATTAGAAACCATTGAATCTTCATTTTAAAACTACGTCACTGTATTTTAAAACAAGAAAAAAGATATTTATATCTATTTATAATTTTTGTTGTTTGTTTTTCTTTATTATTATTATAAACGAGAAAAAGAAATGGCAACCAGAGCAAAAAGACAGAAAAAAAAAATAATGAAAAGAATAAGTTAATATTATTTGGAATAGAACGAGTAATTTAAAATAAAGCAAGAAAAAAAAAAAACCGATTTTTTTTTTTTTATTTATTTATTGAATGCTGCTATAACAGCCCACATAATTTCCATTTTAGTATCATATTTACTTGTTTCTTGATCAGGATCAAGATCAAGTAATTCACGTACATGTTTCATAGCTACTTCATAATCATCATCTGATAATGATGTGAATGCATTTTCAAGAACATCTTAATAAAAAAAAAAAATTTTTTTTTTTTTTTTTTAAAATTTTTTAATTTTTTTTTGTCTTACCACTTGCATGTGCTAAATAGATTAATGCTAATATACGTCTATCCATACGACGTGGATCATTTGGCCATCGTGTTAATACACTATCTTGAACTTTTTTTATCAATTTCATTTTATGTATACTGTCACTAAGTGGATGTGTTGTCATATCAAATAAGAAAAAATTTTGTTTTTCAGTACTACATATTCCTTTATCAACAAGACTTTTTGCTAAACGTTCACGAACATTACGTAATTGATATTTTAATTTTAATGGATTCCAACATTCACCTATAATAAAAAAAAAAACAAATATATATATATATTTAGATAATTTAATCTATAATAAATTATTTTTTTAAAATTACATTATTTTATATTCATATGTACTTTTTAAAAGAAATCTTTGTAAACAATTAAAACAAATGACTCAGTCTATCGAGCTATCTCTGATGATTTATTTTTATAAGTAGATGAGAAATGAAATTTTGAATGCAGATGATCATGATTACATAGTAAAAACTGTCGGATAGGTTCCAGATCCAGATCTGAGAAATATATAATAATATGCTAGTTCTCGAATACAAAAAAAAAATGGAAGATAGAATCTCGTATATTCGAAGTGACTATTGAATTCTGATTCGGAATATTAAAGTACTTTTTTTTTCAATTTCACGGACTTTATCACATAATTCATTGATTCATTTCAGTAACAACAAAAGATCGTCTATTCTAAGTTAAAAGGATCGATCTTACTACTCGATTCACTCATAACGAAAAAAAAAAACAAATTAATGCTATTGAAATGAGATAATATGGCATAGACTATAAAATATTCTTTTATTTTTACTGTACTCTAGGTTTATAGTGATATATTTTTTTTTGTTAAATGTCTAACTTTAATTACTTCGTCAGATATATTAATGATAAAAAAAGGAAGTTTTTAAATATTAATTTTTTTCTCATTTCGATTTACATGACATCCTTATATTCTTATCAAAGTATTCAAGTTACATTATACTTTAGCATGTCAAAAAAATTACTTAAGTAACGATAACTGTATCACAACAAATAATGACAGGCAAGCATAATAAATCAAACCAAAAGGCATAAAACATTCTCAAAAAGCTAAAAATATGTTGATAATTTTTCATCAGACATTCAAACATATGAAAATTTCAATTGTTTAATTATCCGATATACTTTATATCATTTTAAGATTAAACATAGAAAACAAGTACAATATATTCCTTTGTTGAAGGTATATAGAGAAGTTCTTTAGAATAAAAACGGAAATATGGACTTGATAGTTTTACGTCTTTTATAAAATCCATTACAGTCAACATTTTACCCGGAGAGAAAAAAAAAAGGTATATCTTTACAAATATAAATATAAGATTAAGATGTTTGATTAAACAAGTTAATTAGTAGAATATTAAATATTTTGAATTTAATTCGAAAATTTTATATACCACTAAGATATTCAATCCAACTTTGTACAGTTTCAGTTGGTTGTGTTTCTTTAATATGTCGTAATGCTTCATCAAGTAGAACATCTCCTGTAGTTGTATCATCAAGTAATATAACTTTACGATTAGCTAATGTACGACGACGTGCACCAGTTTTTTCAAGTTCAACACGACCACGAAAACCTAATTCAGTTAAAATACAACCACGTAAACCAGATGATATACAATCATTCCAGAATGATGTATAACCCTGCAAGAAAAAAACAAAAACAAAATTAAAGGAAAAAAAAAATATTTTAAATTATAATTAACAAACTTCTCGATCTTTTAGACCAAGTAATAGAACTTCTTCCATAAGTGTAAGACGTGTTTCTTTATCATCATCAGAATCACGTTCATCATCTTTATCTCGATCATCACGATCATTTTGATTGGATTGATATGTATTATTACTTGCTGAATCACTATATGCTCCACCAGAATTTGATGATGTTCCTCGAACATTACGTTTAATAAGTGTTGCCATATTTCTTTTTGTCGTTATTTTATTCAACAAAAAAAAAAGAAAAAACAAACAAAACTTCTTCTAAAATACGAATAAACACATATATATAATCAAGGTCAGTTGATTGATATGCAGATATGCATATTGGCTTTTAAAAAAAAATTCAAATGTATAAAGGTTAAATAATCAATTGATTATTTTTTTTATTCTATTTTTCTTTTGTATAAGAAATGTGTCATACATCATGTGAAACATGAGTTATTGCAATGTAAAAGAGTATAATATGTATGTTTGTTTTGTTCGTTCATTGATATTGACAGACAATACGATTGTATGAATCACACACTGTGTATTAGCATTTATTTGATATATGACTGATGAAAAAATAAAAATAAAAATAATATTTTCATTCTTTTGCAACTATTATTTCTATATACATGCAATGAAAACAAAGTATAAAAAAACCAAATTATATATCATCGGTATATAACGACATCTGTAGGTAAATGAAAGAATTATAAGTATAGATTTAGAAAAGTATTCTACAAAACAGTCCTTAATGAAAAAAAACACGGGATTCTTGACTCGGCGAAAGTTTGTCTCGTAGGATTCTAATAGATACGCCTAAAAGAAAGTTTTAAGGATACCAAATAATGATTAACACTGATCGACCATGATAGCTAGGAATTTCTCAATGTTAATCATCTAACAAGTTTGCGTTTCAGTTCTTTTTGTCAGTAAAATACTGATAAATTTTGAAATATTAGCTATGGATCTTACATACACTTACAAATAAAATTAACAACAGACTTTATAACAGCAGAGAAAATTGTATCATCGTATTTCGAATTTTTCCTTTTGCGCTCATGAGTTATATAAAAATCTAGAAACTAGAGTCCTACACGAGTACAACTTTTCATACGCGAATCCGACCTGACATTTTTTTTGCACAAATACATTACTTTATTTCAATTTTTATCACATAAAACGGTAGAAAGTTCATGAAAATAACAAAAGACAGAGTGTGAATGGGTGTGTGAGGTGTAGAGATGGGCCATAAGTCCGAGGTTTTTGAGGTTCAAGTCAATTCAATAACTGAAGAAAAATTCTCAAGTCAAGTCTTACTTTACTTGCCCATCTCTAGTGAGGTGGGTGTGATAGTACGTCTCAGTCTTTTTATGACACTCACACCCTCATTATCGAATGATGATAATAAAAATATGAAAATAAGTTTATTGTTTATCGAGAAACAAAGTTCACTAGAATTCGTTCATTGTTTTGTACATAATCCAATAGCTTACTGTTTCATTGTTCTGTGTATACAGAATCTAAAAGAAATATAGACGGCGGGAACATATGTTGTGGAAAAATACAACCCGAAATCGACCCGACCCGACCCGAGAAGATTGTACTCGGACCCGACCTCTGGTTGGGTTACTGTACTCGACAAGAAACTTGAAAAAAAAATCGTTTCAGAATGACGATGAGAATTAAGTTGAAATAATTCTGCTGCAATAAAAACTATGATCAAAAAATATGAACAAGATGGTTCTAATAGAATATTTTTCTTTTAAATCAATACAGTTTATAGAACAAACCATAGGCAATTTTTTGTTTTTCATATATCTTTTAAACATTAGTTCCAATATAACATAGAGTATTCATTATTTATGGAAACAATACGACGCCTCTAGCAAAAAAAATACCGACTATAGAGAATGTAACTAATATTCAATTGTAATAGTTGCAATTATATTCACTGTATTGATTGCTTTGACTACAATAGAACATGAATCATTCTTATCTATTATTCATCTCAAATAATGAACTTTGAATATAAAACTCTAGTTTCTATTTAATCAAATGATATCGAACATTCTAATCTTATCAAAAAAAAAAGACACTTTCATTTTAGATAAGATAACTTTAGAGTAATTGCGTATTTCGCTTGAATATTCACTATATATTCAAAAAAAATAAAATGTTTAAGGCCTTCTCAAAAATCGATCTCAGTTCAGGAATGTTCAAATGACATGAAATTTTCAGAATATTTTAGGGTTAGCGTGAGAAGGCTATGGTAAAATTTTCAGTCCGATATCATAATGTTTTGACGAGATACCAGCCAAACAAGAGTCCAAAATAGCTCATTTGGCAAACCAAATTTCTCAGTCCAGGTCCATGTGATGTATTTAAATTTTTCTTTTTGAAAGAGCATGTCAGGATGTAGTGCAGTACAGAGCCCTTTTTTTTTAGGTACTTACTATTTTAGGGAAAAAAAAGGGGCCGAAAGTTCAATGACTCAAAAAACCCTTAAAAAATAGATGTCGACTTATATAAGTGTCTGTTAGAAAAAATCCGAATTAAAAAAGTACTCTATACAGCACTGTGTCTTGATGCGCTCTTTCAAACAAAAAAAATAATAAATACATTGAATGAGTATCGACAGAGAAATTTGGTTTGTTGAAAAAATATGAAATATCGAAGAGAAGTCCGTTTATCATTTCTGAAAGAGTAAATGACGGACTATCTCTATTTTGACTATCCTAACGAAAACTGACGTTTTTTTTCAAGGGAAGACCTCCAACGGTGCTTTTAATCATCAAGTCTTTCAATAAAACATTTAAAAACAAAAATCAAAGATGAGAAAATAAGTTTATACAATCTTGGTAATTTTATTTAAAACATAAATTTTTCTCTCACATTTGTATAGTTTGAATATAAGCCATTTTATTTAAATCGAAAGCTTGTACATCTGTTCTAACCAATTATTTTATTCTTCTTTCATCTTCATACTAGAGCAGGTGAGAAAAAAAAAAAGAAAAGAAAGAAGAGTAATCAAATGCAAATGAGATATATCTATCGATTATCTAAATCTACAAAAAAATTTTCTCATTATCACATTATTATTAAATTACATTTAATTCCTGAAGATCAAGAAAATTTTTTTTTTTGCTTTTTGAAAAATTTCAATAATATCATTGTATTTCATACTTTAGAACTTCCTACAAATTGAAGAAAAGGTTTTTTTTCTAACTATTATCAAGGAGAAATACTATTCAAATATATAAATGTTCTAAACTTATATCCATTCAATTTCTTTTTTTTTTTTCGTCATACATACAGTTGCTTTTTATCACCTTTTATATTCCATAGAGAGTCAAAACTCAATTAAATCTTATATCATCACCAGGAGATCATTGTGTGAAAATTCATGTTAAAAAAAATATTGTTTTCTTTTAATTGTTAATCATCACTAGACACAACTATTTCCTATTCAAATGTGTTATTATGAGAAACCGGATGTAATAGGAAAAAAAGATAATGTATTTTTGTTTCTAACGAATGTGTCCATCTGCTTCCTATGCACGGTACATCATTGCAATGTTTAACTATGTCTTCTCACTAGCTCGTTATGACACCTTTTTTTCTTTTCTAAATGTGATCGACGAATAAAAATGAGAAATTAGTTGAGCATCTGACGATGAATTCTTTTTTTTTTTCTTTCTCTTCCTCCTTCCTTCTTCAATTATGTCAATTGATAGAAATGAATGCATACACCTGTCTTTTTAACACTCATTCTTCATTTCATAAAAAATGATTCATGTACGTATTGATAATCATCATTCAACTGCTGTTGATATTTATGTTAATATTTCTCCAAAAAATATTATTACTTCATCATCACCAATTCCTTCAAATGAACATATATATGATCATTTATTTGATACAAAAAATTATACTTCACGACAATCTAAAATTATTAAAAATCGAATAGATTATAATATTCGTCCAATAAATAAAAAAAATTATACTCTTGAACAAATACTTGATAATGTTGAAACAATACAAAAACAATATGAACAAGTTGTTAATAATCGAATAAAATCAACAACAACAACATCATCATCATGTTTTTTTACATTTAAACAAATAACAAAAATATTAAAAAATTTACGAACAATAAAAACAAAAACAAATAATGAAATAGATGAAAATAATTATTTAGAAAATAAATCTCCATTTGTTTTTGGTGGTGAAACATTACAATGGATTGCTTTACCACAAGATGATAATCATATTTATGAAAATGAATTTATTTCATGAGAAAGAAAAAGTGTTTTTTTTTTTTTTGAATTTTTAGCATACCGGTGTTTTCTTTTCTGTATAAATGTCTTTTTCTTTTTTTGTCTCTGTCTATATAACATAATAAATAAAAAGAAAATAGATATATGATGTCATCAGAAAAATAAACCGACTTCGATCTATGTATAGGAATGACATAATCATCAGAAGATATAGTTGATTCATAAAAATATAAAATTCCTTAGACATCGATAATAGAGTTAACTGTGAGAATGTGAATAAGGTGACAAAATAGATATTTAGAGTTGAAAGAACATCTTTTATAGTTACATATAATGGTACCTATATGGAAGTAGTGTGTGAACATTAACATTATCAAATGACTATCGAAGTTATTGAAGTACTAATCGACATTCATGTTTTCATAGATGATCAAATTTAGATTTCTTTTTCAAAATATTTCGATATATTATTTTCGTTTCAAGAGGCGATTCTTAATTATATCATCATTGATATGAATAAATAAGTGTTAAATAGAATGTAGCAATAGCAATAGCATATTGAATTTCACAATATGTAAATAAACTTGTGTATTTAATAATTTTAACCCATTCACCACGATGGTAAGGTTTGGTGTAATGTATCATCTGCTGCTCTCCGCTATTGTTTGAATTATTTATTGCATAGAATGGTGTTTCTCATTGAAACAACCAAGACAATTAAATTTGTCACAATCAGAACAGAAGATTTTTATTTTCTTTGCTGCTGCATGACTCGTTTCTCTGGATTAACGTTGCCTGATTTTTTCGTAGCAGCCGAGCATAACATCTTCAGACATCTCGAGAAGATCCTTCTTTTTCTTCGAGCGTGTGGTTAGTGAGTTTCCGCTCCGTTTGGCCTGTTGAGATTTGTCTCGGATCGAATTTCAGCTACTCGAA